CCTGTGGCATTAAATAGGCATTTTACTTTGTAACATCTAGTCTCTCAAGTGTTGAGAAGGGATTTGTAAAAATTGAATAAATAATCAAGAAAGAAAACAAGCTTGGCAGGCTCCCCAAAAGTCGATCAAGCATCTTCAAGTGATGGATTGGAGAGTCGAACAACATTAACGTATAGCTCCTTACTCTTTTCAATCTAGACCTGTGATTCCCACTCTTGCCTCCAGTTGTTCTGGACTTCAACTCCCAAAAAAATCAGCTGCTTTAGCCAATGATGACGGAATCTGGGAGCTGAAGTACAAAACATCTGAAAGACCACAGTTTGAAAAACAATGTTCTAGACCTTCCTTCACCTGCTTTCAAATTGGAAATCCTGAAGGTCATGGAGTCCTAGGCTCATTCTAGATCCCACCCCCCCCCCCCCAAAATAAACAAAATAAAATAAAACTAAGTTATAGGATGCTGGACGTATTAGGATGAGTTATGGCTAAAAGAAACATTTGAGACTGCTCCATCTCTGCCTCTTATTAGATGTCTGAGAAGGGAAGCATGTATATGAATACTAACTTTTCAGGGGAGATTTCAATTCACCACACCCCCCAGTTTTGGCTTCAAATCAGATCTTTTATTTCCATGTAGGTTGTTGTCTCTGGCTTAATTATCATTAAACTCAAGGTCTTAGTGGTTTAAGCAACCCTCCCTCATCCCCCCTCCCCAGATACATATTGCTGCCAAGATTAAAGCAATTAAGAAATCCTGAAAGAGGGAGCTATAAAATGTCTGAAGAGAACAGCACTCATTAACAGGCGGGCATGACTTTCTGGGCCAATACTCCTCACCTAATATAATATTGTGCAGTTTGGGGAGTTAATATTGCAACACTGTACATTCTAATCCATTGCAAAAGGATTTAAGCCAAGTCCCCAAGCGAGCAAAACGGTCCTGTAATGACTGGGAGGCCCAGTCTGCTGAAGTAGCCCTTGTTTCAAATAATAGCTCAGTGTTGGAGGCACCATTATAATTAGACTTGGAAAAGCATCAGCATTCCTTCCAAATTTAGCCTGGGATTGTTTAAAGAAAATGAATTGAGTTATTTTGAGTAACAATGCAACTCTCTTCTGAAGGCAAGCCATTCTCAGCAAACACTTTCTGTGTAACAAGGCTCCATTTTGGAAATCTGTGAACTGTGACTGGCTGCATGAGTCACATGACATTATTTTGAATTCGTACCATGGCCATTGTGTATAATACATAAACTCTATGTTTATAATACAAGTAGCTATTTATGTCACAAAATAAGGTAGACTTATTTATCCAATATTTGTTTATCGACTAGATCAAATAGAACAGCGGTTCTCAACCTGGGGGTCACGACCCCCAGTGGGGTAGCCGGGCCATTTCGGAGGGTTCATGGCACCATGTCCATTGGCCCCGCCCCCTCCACCAGGCTGTGCAGTGCTGCCTCTGTTGTCTGTGAGGCCAGACCATGCGGTGCTGCCTCGCTCACCTGGCTTTCACCGCTTGCCAGGCCCGACAGGCGGCGTGAGCCAGGCAAGGGGCTCCCCATGAGGCCAGGCCACGTGGTGGTGCCTCCCTGACCTGGGCCGCACTGCCCGCTAGGTCTGGCAAGCAGCAAAAGCCAGGCGAGGGAGGCAGCACCGCGTGGCCTGGCCTGACAGGAAGCCCCTCCCCTGGCTCAGACCACCCATCAGGCCTGGCAAGCAGCGCAAGCCATGGGAGGGGCTTCCCGCAAGGCCCAGGCGGTGCTGCCTCCCTCACCTGCGTTGTGCCGCCTGTCGGGTCTGGCAAGCAGCAAAAACCAGGAGAGGGAGGCAGCACCACATGGCCTAGCCTCATGGGAAGCCCCTTGCCTGGCTTGCACTGCCTGCCAGGCCTAATGGCAGGCAGCCCCTCCCTCCATTCAGATCCAGCTCCATCCCTCATTCTCGCCCTCCACAGCCACCAGGGAGGGGGGGAGAGAATGGTAGCAACAGGGCCAAGGGGCCACAAATGCAGGAATCTCATCACTCTGCCTCCAAGCGCCTCTCGAGTGCACCAGTATTCCAATTTCAGCATATCAGGTTTTTGTGCCAAATTTGATAAAGATCGATCATTGTTTGAGTTCACAGTGCTCTCTGGATGTAGGTAAACTACAACTCCAAAACTCAAGGCCAACGCCCTCCCATTGACTATTATTATTATTATTATTATTATTATTATTATTATTGCTCCTGCAGTAATTCTATCTTCCTGTGTGGCAGAAAGAAGGAGATGGACTACATGACCTTTGGGGTTCCCTTTCAATTGTATGAGTCTTATAATACTGCATAATAGTAGTAGTAGTAGTAGTAGTAATAATAATAATAATAATAATAATACACTAATTCTATATTCCTGCCTGGCATAAATGAGGGGGCTGGACTAGATGACCTTTGGGGGTCCCTTCCATAATAATAATGTATAATAATAAAATAGTAACTCTTATTTTCCTGTCTGGCATAAAGGAGGGGGCTGGACTAGATGACCTTTGGGGTCCCTTCCAACTGAGAATAATAATAATAATAATAATAATAATAATAATTCATAATAATTCATAATAATAAATAATAATATAATAGCAATTCTATCTTCCTACCTAGCAGAAGGAAGGGGCTGGATTAGATGACCTTTGGGGTTCCCTTCCAACTGTCTGAGCCTTATAATAATGTATAATAATAGTCTCCTGGAGTGACTGCAGGTGCAATAAAACCCTTCTGGTATTTTCTGTTGGTCATGGGAGTTTCGTGTGCTAAGTTTGGTACCTTTGGTGGACTTCAGACTGCTCTTTGATTGTAAGTGAACTATAAATTCCAGCAAGTACAACTCACAAATGTCAAGGTCTATTTTCCCCAAACTCCACCAGTGTTCACATTTGGGCATAATGAGTGTTTGTGTCAAGTTTGGTCCTTCTTCCTTATTTCCAGTATGTAGTTTATATGGCCCAAACCATGTCTTAGCCTTATAAAGAATATCTTCATTTAGTCCTCAGTGTTTTATCTTAATTCAGTTGGTTTGTGATACTTTGGTTACAGCGTATTTTAAATGAATTCTTCCACCAACCAGTAGTCACAAAGTGGGGAGATGTGGCAAAGGTGGCTGGCAGAAATATTGACTATATTCAAATGTTCTTGTGACACTCCCATTTAACTACATATTTAACATGGGATGCTATAATTTATTCATAAAGCTATTTCTAATCTAATTATTTTCATGTTATTCATGGGTAAGTGTTGTATTAGAGCCTGTAAGTAACAATGCTAACAGTAGTTTGGACACTAGAAGAGGAAAACGGGTTACTCGGGAGCAGGAGTCTGATGAGGAGCAACAAAGGAAGAGGATCCGGGATATACTTAATGCTCCCTGCTTTTGGCCCACACTTGAGATAGGAATGTTGTTGTTGTGTGCTTTCAAGTCATTTCACACTTAGGTTGACCCTGAGCGAGGGCCGGATAAATGACCTTGGAGGGCCGAATCTGGCCCCCGGGCCTTAGTTTGGGGACCCCTGGTCTAGTGGAAGGAAAAGGACTACTCGGGAGCAGGAGTCCGATGAGGAGCAACAAAGGAAGAGGATCCGGGATATACTTAATGCGCCCACAGATGAGGAGTCATTCTTGGGTTTCTCTGGGGGTGATGGGTTAGAGAGTGATGAAGATGGAGATGACACATTGGACTGGACTAAGGTAAAAGAGGTACAAGCTGTATGTGCGGAGACCAACGTCCAGTGATACATTTGTAGGGTTCTCTGGTAATGAGGACTGGCAATCGGGGAATACGGATGAGTCTTGGGGGGATCTAAGTCTTGACAGAAGATGGAATATTTGAAGGGATGGGAGTAGGAGTTCACGTGTGGAATCAAGAGCAGCTGCAAGGGATAACAACGGGTGGAGGTCAGCTTATCTTCTGATGATGATGTGTAAGATAAAAGTAGGTTCTGAAATGGGTGTTGGTTCATGCATTGGGTTCTTGTGGCTGCCTATTTTGTGTTGGTATTGGGTCCTGGATCTACAGGTTACTGCTTCTGTTCATGTGTGTTTTCGACTCGGTTTGGATTCCTGTGAGTGCTGACTTCTCCCTTCCTTGACTACGTGGACTTTGGAACTTTGCTACTTTGAATTTGGCTTGCTTCAACCTCGGAATTCATTTGACTACACTTTCTTCCCTGCGGCCCTTTTGTTTGTTAACTGTTTACTTGCTGTGCTATTTTGGGGGACTTTCGGAGTGCTTTGTTATAATCCAGTTCTTTTCTCCGGATAATCTGGATTATTGCTTCAGTTATCTCTTTTGAACCAGGACTGCTTTCTGATTTTGAGTTTGGCCAGAGACACTGAGTTAAGTGTCTCTGAGCCCTTTTTCTTTGCTTAATAAACTTCACTTTGGAACTAATTCTGAGTCTGGCCCTTTAAGGTGTCTTTGTCCCGACAGTAAGAAAAGTCACACACTCCAAAGGCATGATTTGAGAAAATGGATGTGTTTCTCCTCACTACCATTTTCTTTTCAATAGAGGACTGCCACACACCTAGATTAGTATGCAAGATGCAGGCCATAAATAGGTTCATAAATAAATGATAAACTATGGCTGCTGCTTTGTTTACCTATGGACTTAACAGAACGTGGGATTCTGATTAAATCAGAATTACTCTTCAGAACAAACTGTGAAGCTTAACAGTGGTAATTCTCAAAGCGCAGGGTTGGTGTCCTTAGAGAGGAAGTTCCCTAGTGTAAGCTCTTTTGAGGATGTACTCCCTCCATCACTCCTAAGAATGAAGTAAAAAACAAGCACTTCTTGAATATTTGCTTGGCTGAGAGGGTTTCAGGACCAAATTACATTGTTAATGAATTCGCAAAATACAATCAATAATTTTAAGAAAGGTATGCATAAGCAATCCACTTCTCTTCTGGAGGAAAAAGTAGCCATATACATTTCCAGTCAAAACTTACATGCACAATGCAAAATAACCATACCTTTTCAGCAAAATAGAACCCTTGAGGTAGTATGAACTGTGAATCCTTATTGGTTCTCTTGAGGGTATCCTCTATTTGAATCCAATAATCACCAACCTTAATGATCTTCATCTAAAGAAGGGAGAGCATGAACCAGGAAGATGTGCTTGGATAGTAGGAACACCTGGACACAGTTTTCCTCAAGCTTGCACGACTGTGTCAGGGCCAGTGATGCGGACAAAGATGAAGGGCTGCTTCACCCAGCATCTGAGTCAGGGGTGAGCTGGAGCCTGAGCTGCCTGACACTGAGAAATCTACCCCTACAAAACAGGACCAGGAGGCTCAGGAAAGTAGGAACACAGAGTCAGGGCAGGATCAGAAGCTCCAGGAAGCAGACCAGAGAGTTAAGCATTGCAGCTAAGCTGCAATTAAGAACTGATGCCATCCAACTGAAGAGATCTAATAAGTTGGCTCAGAGGAGGACTAACTTGGGAAAGTGGTATAAAAAGCTGGAGCTGGTAGTTTTCTGGAAGCAACATTTGTGGAACTGCTACAGCCTGAGTATCTGTTGGTGAACTCTTAGATGGAACTTTTACTTTGGTGACTGGACTATGTTTTTGGACTATTACTTGAATTGGTGAGATTGCTTGGCTTTGAAGTTTGGGAAGAAATCTGGACTATTTGTATGCCTTGCCCTTGTTGGACTGCTTGTTGTGTATGACTATGAACTGCCTTTGACTATGAGATGGTGAGCAGCTGCATTAAAGGGGATTCTGTGTACAGGTCTTTGACAGTCTGATTGTATTTCTATTTAAATTAGAATCATTTCTACATTTGAATCTGCAAATATGTATTCACATATACATACTTATGTAACTTGTGTTTTCTTTGTTCTTCCTATGCACTTGTTTCGGGTGATATATTTCCTCTGTTAGGGGATGTATAACTGGGTGCCCCATAAAAAAAAGTCTTGGGTTTCCAGAATGGCAACTGGAAAGGATTCCTGTCCCTTAAATGATATACAGAATGGGGAATTTAAGCAGATGCTGCTCGTCAAACCACCTGGTAACATGCAACACCTGTAGAAATCCCCTGTTCTGTTCCGTACAAACAGGGAGGGAAGGATTTTTACTGGGTAGGGGTTAGCTGTAATACACATTCATTTCCATGAAAGGTGATATTTGAGAGGTCAGATTTTTTCCGTGTTGAGAACCTGAAAGATGGAAAATGTTAATATTAACATGGTAAGTGCATAATGGACGGCATTCTGTTAGTGACTTTTGCAAGTGAAAGCCCAGTTTATGCCTATGTTAAGTTTTTTTTATTCTCAACTAACTCCTCCACAACCAAAATTTTGATTGCTTGCTGCACCTACACTCCTTGCAAAAACACAGTTTTACTAGCCAGTGGGAAATGCTGAACTTGCAGGGAGTGGCAAAAAAGTGACACCACTGGCACTACCCTCCAGGACATCTGGAGGACCTCAATGAGGTCCCAGAAAACAGCAGGATGCAAGTAACTGTATCAACATAGCTGGATGTGCTCCTTTCCTCTCCACTAGCAAGTACATTGGCATTTGAACTTACAGGAGCTGATGGGTGGATTGGCAGGATGAGAAGGGAAATGTTTTATAGTTCTACTACACAGAACTTCACAATACATCTCTTAATCCAGGATCTCAGCCAGTGAGTTCATTTTCTAAACTGCATAATGGTCAAGCTCTGATCCTAATTTAAATCACAGTCTATTCTTGAAGCTTTAAACACTGTAACATTTGAATTTGCTAAACTATGGCTAAAGCCAACAAGACAAGGCAAAAAAGGAAATTTGCATCATGTGACAGGAGGAAGTGGGAAGGGAAAGACACTTCCAAGGATGGGTTCTGATTTGAGAACTAGAATCCAGCCAAAGCTTTGAATACTAACAATTGCACATGGATTTCCAGGTATAATATGCAACAGGAGCAGTGGCCCTGTAGACACCTGTAAGGACCTCCACATACAATCATGCCTGATGTTCAAAGGGCACCCAAGAGGGTATGTTGGAGCTAATTGGTTTATATTCCATGCACCCAACCAAACATTTCTTACCAAAATATTGGGTCTCTTTTCCAGCTCTTTTCAGGGAGTTGATTCACAGCTTGTGAACTCATTCTCTCCCACTCCCTCTTCTTTCTTTTTCTGAGATGGAGAAGAAAAAAACACCTTCAAGCATTTTTCACATGGCAAATCTGTGCTGCCATGTCAGGTTTCACAGCTGAACACTCCCAAGACACTAGTTCTGCCATTCAGGGCCTGGATGCTCTCTTGTGCATGATGGATAGCTTTAAAATGAAGACACAATGAAAAGTACCAGCTGTCCAGGTACACACTGTGAATTATCCTGGTTCAGCAGTATCCCCAATCTTCCTTCATATTTTTTTCCTATCTTTTCTTTGGGTGGGGGGCATATCATGTAATGAATTCACAAGCTCAGGCAAATGATGGGAAGTAATGTGTGTAGTCTCCTAAGAGTTCAACCTCTGTTTGGGACTGAGGATATTTTATTCTTTAATTTTCATGGGCCCTGTGGGCTAAACCTCTGTTTCCTGCATGCTAATAGATGGGTTGGATTTCCATTTACCCCTGTAAATATGCTCACCATGGTGAAGTTGGCTTACAAGAAATTTTAAGTACATAGTTAAAATGCACAAAATACAAAAGATAAAACATTAAAAACCAGTAAAAATATAGACTGTTAAAAAGGGAGGCACAACTAAATAAATCATAGAAAGTCCAGCATGTTGTTTAAAGGGACCACCCTTATACAGTCAGTTCTCAAAGGGTTGTTGAAACAGAAAGGTCTTCAAGTGTCTGTTGAACAAGAGTAGAGATTATGTCATTTTTTAAAAAATTGTTGTGAACTTCTTTGCATCTCAATCATAGAAATGATTGATACAATAGAGGAAGGGGAAGTAGTAGTAGTGAACTAAAAATTTAAAAGTTAGGCATGTCAATTGAGGAGGGTCTTGCCTGGTTAGCTATGCTAACCACCAATATTTCCTGAACAGAGAGATCCACCAGGGTGAGGACAAACAACAGAGGCTCTTTATTTGCGATCAGCAGAAAGGATGCAATGTACAGCAAAGATGTACAAGCATAACTAACCATATTGGAACATGTAACTATTTTTATAAAGTAAAAATCCATGCATGAATATTCTCTCTGTTTAATTTTCCCTCCCTTGTCTGTGATTGGCTGAACATAGAGGCTGACCACTTGGGGAGGCTAATTTAACAAAATTTACAAGGCCATAAAAAAGACTCCAGCAAAGCACTCCAGCAAAACATGCGGGGAATGCGGAAGTACTTCATCAGTGTCGCAAATGGACGATGAAAGCGACAGCTCCCCTGGCGGCCAGAAAAAGTTAAATAGCCTCTGACTGTTTGTCTATTTCTGTTGTGTGTCTTTGGCATTGAATGTTTGCCATATATGTGTACACTGTAATCCGCCCTGAGTCCCCTGCGGGTGAGAAGGGCAGAATATAAATGCTGTAAATAAATAAATACATAAATAAAAGAAACTTCTCTTTCTATGCAGTGCAGACATTAATTTCTTTTGTCTTTTGGTCACCAGAGCTTGTATTTCAGAGAGGATCCTGTAGCAACCCAGTTTAGGCAATAAATGGCAAATATGTTATTATTTGACATGTTCCATTTTTAATAGTGTCCAAGTGTATTGGTAGGGCGCACATATCGGTGATGCAGATTGTGATCAATTGATCTCATTTATGTTCCCCTTTTCACCATGCAGATCCTGGAAAGGTGAAAACTTCTAAACAGGAGCGCAGACAACAAATGAAACACTCCGGTGTCTTGTCCAGGCAGAAATAATAATTTAATTGATATATTAGATCAGATGGGCATAGACATATAGAAGAAGCTGAGGTAGGGGATAAAAACATGCAGGAGGCTGCATAAATGGAAGCTGCAGAAATGGAAACAAATAGACACATTGGGGATAGAAAAGGATACAATTTATTAAAAAGAGAAATTGGGGCTGCTCTATGTGAGGGATTCACTGCTGTGGACCCCATTCAGATGTGCACTAGTATGCATATTTATAGGTTTTTAATAAAAAGGAATAAAAGCATATATGGGGAGGATGGTTTTTGGGGATCTGCTGCTGTTGGTCTGTCAAGGAGGGGACCCTTTGAAGAGCAAGAGAGAGAGACAATTTCATTTGTTTTAGAACAAGGTGTCCTTAATAGACTTGTCCTTGGTGGACTATAAATCTTTTGGGGGGGGGGCTTGGGAGGTGCTGTGTGTTACAACAGTAGTAGTACTAGTTGTTGTTCCAGAGTCTGGGGAAAACCACTAAGAAAGTTCTCTCCCCTGTTTCAACTAGATGTGGATGTAAGCCCCCTTCCACACTGCTCCTATATTTCAGGATCTTTTCCCAAATTATCTGGCAGTGGAGACTCATATAATCCATTTTAAAGCAGATAATCTGGGATCAGATCCTGGGATAAAGGGCAGTGCAGAAAGGCCCCAAGATAGGTGGAATGGAGAGAAGGACCTCCCCAGAAGATTCCAAACTATGGGCAGGTACATGAGGGGGGAAACAGTATTTCAAATAAGGTAGGTCTGAGCTGTCCTTTTACAGTATATTCTGGCGTATAAGACTACTTTTTAACCCAAGAAAATCTTCTCAAAAGTCAGGGGTCGTCTTATACGTGGGTGTAGTCTTATGCATGAGAGTTGTCTTAACTCTATATTTTAACTGGAAAAGTTGGGGGTCGTCTTATATGCCCAGTCGTCTTATATGACGGAATATACGGTATATCAAATTTATAATAGTTTAAATTTGTTTCTATAGATATTGATTAGCATCTTACATTGGATTTACATATCTGTAAGCACCATAGTTACAGTACTATACAGTGAATACCAGCCTGCTCCACACTTACTAGGAAGCAACATCTGTCATAGAAGATTTATTTATTTATTATTCGAACTTATATGCCGCCCCTCCCCTGGGGCTCGGAGCGGCTTACAAGAACAGGCTAAAATCGAACACAATTTAAAAACAATTTAAAACAATTTAAAAACAGCAATTTTGGCTATAACAATTATCAGAGCATTTTAAATTAGGAAATGAAAAAAATACAGTTCACTAAATAGTGTGCAAAAAAATTCAGCAACAGCAACCACTCTAAGGCTGGATCTATACTGTCCTATATCCCAGGAGCTGATCCCATATTATCCACTTTAAAAATGGATTATATGAGTCTCCAGTGCCTTATAATCTGGGATAAACATATAATCTAGGATCAGATCATATGGTATAGAGCAGTGTAGAAAGCTGGATCTTCTTACCCCAGATTATCTGGCAAAGTAGACACATATAAACCACTTCAAAGCAGATAATTTGGGATCAGATCCTGGAATACAGGGCAGGGTAAAAGGGTTACAGAGATGTTGTCCATGGTTATCTCTCACAAAAGTCTCTAATATAAAGCTATTTTGACACTCACCCAATTTTATATTTCCATAGGGATTCATGCTGAGACAACTGGATAATGCTTCTCTGTTGTCTTTCTTTTCTTTCTTCTAATATATGCATCTTATATGTACATTTTCCAAATGATTTTCCTAATATTGCATTTTAACATCATTTCTACTAATGTATATAATTTAGTGTGACCATCCTTTAACTGATAACTGATTTTATTGTATTTATTAATTTGAAAGACAAAGATTAGCTGACACCACATTAAAATATGAACTGGAAAGAAATCTTCTCATTCCTAATCTACTATACTGAAAATGCTTTTGTGTTATTTCCTGCCCACTGTTAGCAATTCTAATTTCCATGCCAGGTTGGAGAAGCCCATGGATTGGGAATACTTTTTTCTCTCCTACCCCCACCCCCCTTCTCCTCACCACAGCCTTCCCTTCCTTCCTTCCTTCCTTCCTTCCTTCTTCCCCCCCTCCCCCTTCCTCTCTTCTCTCCCCCCTTCCCTTCTTCCCTTCCCTTCCCTTCCCTCCCCCTCCCTTCCCTTCCCCCCCCCTCCCCCTTCCCCCCTTCCCTTCTCCTTCCTTCCCTTCCCCCTCCTTCCCTCCCTTCCCCTTTCCCCCCCCCCCTCCCCCTTTCCCCCTCCCCCCTCTCCTCCCCCCCCTTTCCTCCCTCCCCCCTCCCCCCCCCCCCCCCCCCCCCCCCCCCCCCTTCTCCTTCCC